AAGGACCGCAACTCCGCTGCAAGGTTCAGCCGCAAGAGACCAAAAGGAGGGACCACATCTCCACTCCCTTTTTGCTAGATAGACATCGGCCAATGTATTGAGCCAGGTCTCTTGCAAAAATAAAATCTCAGCATCAAACTCGCTGAGCAAAAATAAGGCCGTATCACGAGCTCTTGCAGATTTAATGCTGGCGACATTAATGGTCGCCACCTTTAACAGAGTGGGAACTGCCATCAGGATGATTGGGGTAGTCGTTTCGTTTCTTAACCTCTACCACACTCTCATCACCCGAAACAGCTCTCTTCAGAGTACGTGACTCCCCCTCATCCATAGATGATAGAGAAATGGATATATCAGATACCATCTCATCACCTGACAAAACTGAAAAAGTATTGCCAAGAGGGACCCCTCCTGGATCTGATTCTGAGGAAGAGAGGACAGCTCTTCTCATCCTCCTCTTCTTCTTCTTCCTCTTCTCCTTCACCCTCTCCCACCCTTCATCAGCCGAATCCCCCCCAGCAGGAGGTGAGACATGGGACATGGATACCCCTCCCTGAGCCCCATCGGCTCCACCCCCATCCGGCACCCCCACAACCTCCTGACCACGTTTGCGCTGATGGGACAGGTACCGGAGGTGGAGTAGGCCGAGAGGGAAGATCCGCTAAACCCGCCCCCCCAGCAGCTTCCGCCAGTCTGGAGGATCTACGTACTGTAGGATTAGGGACAGGAGGGACAGACTCAGGGGTGACATTACTGGGGGAAACACAATCTGACACAACAGACAACAGACACAGGAGGGGGGCAACTACAGTTTCCTCCCTAGCATCAGCTGCCTCATCCTCTTTATCCAGCCTCTGCAGCTCAGCCTCCAGTCCTGGCAGGTTGTGTAGTGCCTCTGGGCACAGACTGTATGGATGACCCAGCTGCTGGCACAAATTACACCGAATCTCGGTGCATTCTTTGGCCAAATGGCCAAAATCCTGGCACAGTGAGCACTTCTTGATGGTGCAGGACGATGCAAAATGGCCTTTCTCTCCGCATTTGTTACAAACTTTAGGCTGACCTTGATAGAAAATGGTCAGCCTATCCCTCCCCAGAAAGGCTGAGCAGGGAAGATGCTGAACCACACATTGCCCAGCACCCTCAATTGCACTGACACCGTCCAGGCCCCTGTCCATATCCTATGCTCATCCAGGACCTTCCGCAGTGGGGTGAGGACCTCACCATGTCGGCGTAGCCAAACTACTAAATCAGCCTCTGGTATGGATTCATTCCGGACCAGGATTGTCACCGATTTTATCAAAGGCTGTCTGGAAACCACCTTTGCCACCAAACCTCTCCACTGCTGAAGGCTCCTGCACCTCCAATATCTCTCCCAAAACAGGTCCAGGCCTTCAGGTTTTACAAATGACAAATCGTATTCATAGCTGCCGACTGGGCAGATCAACGCAAACACATCACAGGCTTTAAACCCCATCTCTAGAATCAACTCCGCCACCCTCCCCCTTACTGGTGGGTTCCCTTCCCCCTCCCACTTCAACTGTACCACATTCCTTCTCCTGACCCCACCAACCATCCCACCACCAAACCTCCCCAAATTGTGACCATTAGTATTCCCAACACTACCCCCACCCCCCTTGGTGCGACTCCCCAAAACAGAGGCATAGCTCCCCCCAATCCTCCCAGCAGCAGAAACATTTGTGTGTCTGGGAGCATCTGGTGCAACTCTGGCAGATACCGATTGCACAGATCCGGGATTGGATGGTGTATCCTCTCTCTGCTCAGCAGGGGGAGAAATGTCATTTTTACCTCTGTCAGCAATGTTAACCCCTTCACCTCCACCCACCACCAACACATCCATTGCTTTACCAGTCTCAACAGTCATAGACTTCACAGCAATGTCCACACTCACTGCTGCAACCATAGAAGCTCCAGCAGTCATCTCTTCTTCCAAGAAAGGAGACTCAGCCCAGGACTGGATTGGATTCTCAGACACAGCAACAAGTGAGACATCCATGTGTGCTGTTTGCTCTCCACATGTTGTGCAGTGTGCTGCTCCCCCTCCCCCACCAGCATCAATCAGCTCTGGAGCACCTGGGAGCTCAGGTGAAACAGTCTCTCTGCAGGGGGGCAGCCATCTTGCCTGTAGAGGGACTACTGGTCTCAGCAGGAACAGCAGCAGCAAATTCCATCTGTGGGGTGCTTGGTGCAGGTTCATCCACATTCCCCTGATGGTCTGGAGACCTCTCTGCCAGGGATTTTTCCTCCAGGTTGGCTGAGGATTCCTCCACAGCAGGCTGCTTGCAGAGCTCCTCATCCACAGTACTCACCGCAGCAGGTGGGGCAGACATGCTGGAAGCAGCCATCTTGGTGTATTGGGATCTCTCCACCAGTCTTGGCTTTGCTGCTCTGTACCTCCTCTGTCCATCCTCAGGGACTTCTGCAGGGTCATCAGTGAAGGCAAACTTGTCTGCTCTCAGGGGTGACTCCATGTGCTGGATGAACTTCAGGGTTCCATACTCACCCTCAACCCCCTGGCTGGTTGCCACTGGTGATTCCACAGCCTGACATGGGGGGAGAGACGCTGATGTAGATGGAACTGGGTCATCCATTACCTGAGGCTGCTGATCCACAGAGCTCGCTGATGTCTGGCTGGCAAATCTCCTCTCATTATCAAATTTTTCTTTAAATGCTCCACTTCTTGCTTTCAACTTTTCTAATAATAAAGATTGTTTCTTTACTTTCTCCTCCATGTGCTGGAGCGCTGGCTTCATGCCCAATCTGTTCTTGCTCCAGGCCTGGCAGTATTTGGCTCTGAAGGATTTGTGTTCAGATTTCAAAACATTAAGTTTCTCCTCAGCTCTTCCAATAGTCACAAATCTATCAGTAATCTTCTGTCTGAAGACATCGACATCCTCACCAGGGCCGGGACCCACAGTCAGGTCCTCCACCTCCTCCTCTTCACTAGGCCCGGTCTCATCAGGGGAATCCCTCCCAGGGCCTCCCCCTGGATCAGGCATGGTTCCTGGGCCAAGCTAGCAGGCAAGGCCCAGGCTTGAAAATGCTGGTTCTCAGGGAGAGCTCCTTAAGGAACATTCTTCTGAATTGGCCCTGAAACAAAACCTCTGCTTTAGGCCCATTGACACTTGTGCGTTGCGGCAACATGCGCTAAAATGACCTCAGTGCATGGCAATGCACCCAGTCTATGTGCAGTGGCATTCTTTGTGAATACGTTGCACTTTGGCTCCCAATACAGCACACTACTAAAGGCATGCCTTGCATTGCGGTGCTTTGCGTTGCCATAAAATGGTCATGTCCATTTTTTCACCCATTGTGTTGCGTTGGTAGCCCATTCATAATCAACAAACTACTTCAATGCCACACGTTCAATGCGTGCCATAAGACGTTTTAACGCATGTGCATTAACTCACTGCAAAGGAAGGTTTAAGCGTGAAACTTCAATATTTCCTTCCAACCATTAAAGCCATCTCTGCGCAACATTTCTTTTTAAAGCAGAAAGTGTTTACGGCCACAAATTTTCTGCCGGCTACCCAAGTGACATTATTTGAGCTTATACATCGGCGGTGTCATTTGTCAGCAGCAATATTGCTGCCTATTCATGCTTAGAGCTCGGTATTTGTTTCCCGGGACAGAAGGATGGAAGGGGACACGGCCAAGGTCACGCCGAGCTGACATGGAATTCACACCTGGTTCTCTGACATGCGTGTCAATGTCCAAAACTGCTGAACGCTCCTTATTTTTCTCTTCAGTGAGGATGGATGTTCATTGATCCGGCTGAAAGAAAAGACTTTTACAATAAAAGCTCAGAAAATTACCTGACTTGGGTCTTCGCTCTTTCCCGTGCCACCGGGAACCGCCAGCAAAAGGTTTTGTCTTTCAGAAAATAAAAGTAGTAGGATTCTTGGTGCAACTTCAAGCTAAGAGAGTTTATCAGAATCCAGTTCAGTCCTTAGAGTGCGTTTAAATCCAAAACATAATTGTAGTATTGGATAGAGGAGGAGGTTATGAACCCTTTTTAGTTATTTTTTGCTCTTGGTGCAGAATTTCACTTCACATCTGATCTTGGAGACCCAACTGGTGAGGTGACCCAACTGGTGAGGTGACCCAACTGGTGAGGTGGTCTTACCAAAGTGAATGGGATTTCTATCCTGGTCCTTACCAGAACAAATGTCCGCACTGGAAGATTTTTCCTCTATTCTTGTTCTTTTGGGCAATTTTGGTCACTTTCTGTATCTATGGCCACTAGTACAAATATGGAGGTGAATTTCCCCAATGGGGACACAGCATTAGGAACTCTCCTGAGAGTTTAACCTTTCTCCACTCTATCTAACAAAACAAAAAATGAACATAGAGCAACCATTCTCAACCAGGGTTCTGTAGAAACTATAAGGGTTCCTACAGAGGTTGGTACTTACATAATTTCGGGTCCAAAGCAACGTGGCAGAGCAGCTGCATTACACCAATGATCTAATTAGCTCTCTGTAAGGAGGATATTCTTTCCACTGATCACCAATATAAGGAGCATTCTTCCCACTGACCACCAATGTAAGGCACATTCTTTTCGCTGATCCCCAATGATAGGAGCACATTCTTCCCACTGACCACCAATGTAAGGAACATTCTTTCCAATGGCCACCAATGTAAGGGGACATTCTTCCCACTGATCACCAATGTAAGGGACATTCTTCTCACTGATCACCAATGTAAGGGACATTCTTCCCACTGACCCCCAATGTAAGGGACATTCTTCCCACTGATCACCAATGTAAGGGACATTCTTCCCACTGATCACCAATGTAAGGGACATTCTTCCCACTGACCACCAGTGTAAGGTACATTCTTCCAACACCCCCAATGTAAGGGACAGCATTCTCCCCACTGACCACCAATGTAAGGGGCATTCTTCCCACTGACCACCCAATGTAAGGGACATTCTTCCCACTGACCCCCAATGTAAGGGCATTCTTCCCATTGACCACCAATGTAAGGGGCATTCTTCCCACTGACCCCCAATGTAAGGGACATTCTTCCCACTGACCCCCAATGTAAGGAGCATTCTTCCCACTGATCACCAATGTAAGGGACATTCTCCACTGATCCCCAATGTAAGGGACATTCTTCCCACTGATCCCCAATGTAAGGGGCATTCTTCCCACTGACCCCAATGTAAGGGACATTCTTCCCACTGACCCCCAATGTAAGGGACATTCTTCTCACTGACCACCAATGTAAGGAGCATTCTTCCCACTGACCCCCAATGTAAGGGACATTCTTCCCACTGACCCCCAATGTAAGGGGCATTCTTCCCACTGACCCCCAATGTAAGGGACATTCTTCCCACTGACCACCAATGTAAGGGACATTCTTCCCACTGACCCCAATGTAAGGGACATTCTTCCCACTGATCCCCAATGTAAGGGACATTCTTCCCACTGACCCCCAATGTAAGGGGCATTCTTCCCACTGACCCCCAATGTAAGGGACATTCTTCCCACTGACCACCAATGTAAGGGACATTCTTCCCACTGACCCCCAATGTAAGGGACATTCTTCCCACTGATCACCAATGTAAGGGACATTCTTCCCACTGATCACCAATGTAAGGGACATTCTTCTCACTGACAATGTAAGGGACATTCTTCCCACTGACCACCAATGTAAGGGACATTCTTCCCACTGACCCCAATGTAAGGGACATTCTTCCCACTGACCCCCCAATGTAAGGGGCATTCTTCCCACTGACCCAATGTAAGGGACATTCTTCCCACTGACCCCAATGTAAGGGGCATTCTTCCCACTGACCTCCAATGTAAGGGACATTCTTCCCACTGACCACCAATGTAAGGGACATTCTTCCCACTGACCCCCAATGTAAGGGACATTCTTCCCACTGATCACCAATGTAAGGGACATTCTTCCCACTGACCCCCAATGTAAGGGGCATTCTTCCACTGACCCCCAATGTAAGGGACATTCTTCCCACTGACCACCAATGTAAGGGACATTCTTCCCACTGACCCCAATGTAAGGGACATTCTTCCCACTGATCACCAATGTAAGGGACATTCTTCCCACTGATCACCAATGTAAGGGACATTCTTCTCACTGACCCCAATGTAAGGGACATTCTTCCCACTGACCCCAATGTAAGGGACATTCTTCCCACTGACCCCCAATGTAAGGGACATTCTTCCCACTGACCCCCAATGTAAGGGACATTCTTCCCACTGACCCCCCAATGTAAGGGGCATTCTTCCCACTGACCTCCAATGTAAGGGACATTCTTCCCACTGACCCCCAATGTAAGGGACATTCTTCCCACTGACCACCAATGTAAGGGACATTCTTCCCACTGACCCCCAATGTAAGGGGCATTCTCCCCACTGGCCTGAATGAATGTATTGTAATGGGGGTTCCTGAGACCTTAAAACTTATTTTGAGGGTTTCTCTGCGCTTAAAAGGCTGAGTAAGGCTAGCATGTTGCCTTACCTGGTTTCCTCCTTTCCTGTCATCAACATGCTAATATGTTGCTTAAAAAAAACCCTGTTTTCATTGCATATTTTATTTTAGACACAGCGATGGCATCACTGGGTCCCTGTGCTTCCTATGCAATGCAGGAAGCCCATGGCTGGTGGGAGGGGCCAGCAGGGTGCTGTACATATCCTCCTGAAAACATCACAGCACCCTGCCTCAGTACACCTCTCAACAGTCCTCAATTGTGATGCAAACAGTGGGCTGGGTCTTGGTAGGAGTTGTGCAAATATAAAAATACCTTGATGGGTGGATGTCAGTCTAGAGGAGTGGGCGTTCCTAGGCAGGATGCATTTTCACACAGACCACCCTAGGTGATACTAAGTAATTGGAAGAACTGAAATCCATAAATGAAAGGAGCGGGCCAGGGTCAGATGATGCTGGACGTCCTCCAGCCAAGAAATGAGGCGGAGCCCCATCTGACTTGCTGCAGCTTCTACTGCACATTGTGAGAAGCTCACAGAATGCAGTGACATCAGTAAGACATGTCAGTCCAGGAGGGGAGTCGGTACACCTGTGCAAGACTGAAGGGGAGGAGCCGGTACACCTGTGCAAGACTAAAGGGGAGGAGCCGGTACACCTGTGCAAGACTGAAGGGGAGGAGCCGATACACCTGTGCAAGACTGAAGGGGAGGAGCCGGTACACCTGTGCAAGACTGAAGGGGAGGAGCCGGTACACCTGTGCAAGACTGAAGGGGAGGAGCCGATACACCTGTGCAAGACTGAAGGGGAGGAGCCGGTACACCTGTGCAAGACTGAAGGGGAGGAGCCGGTACACCTGTGCAAGACTGAAGGGGAGGAGCCAGTACACCTGTGCAAGGTGACTGAAGGGGAGGAGCCAGTACACCTGTGCAAGACTAAAGGGGAGGAGCTGATACACCTGTGCAAGACTGAAGGGGAGGAGCCGGTACACCTGTGCAAGACTGAAGGGGAAGAGCCGATGCACTTGTGCAAGACTAAAGGGGAGGAGCCGGTACACCCTGTGCAAGACTGAAGGGGAGGAGCCGGTACACCTGTGCAAGACTGAAGGGGAAGAGCCGGTACACCTGTGCAAGACTGAAGGGGAGAGGAGCCGATACACCTGTGCAAGACTGAAGGGGAGGAGCCGATACACCTGTGCAAGACTGAAGGGGAGGAGCCGATACACCTGTGCAAGACTGAAGGGGAAGAGCCGGTGCACTTGTGCAAGACTACAGGAGGCCAAGGTCAGTGTGAGAGATTGTTGATGATAACGACGATGATGATGATGATAAGGATTATGATGATTATGACAATGATGATAACAACTATGATGATGATGGTGATGACAATGATGATGACGATGATGATGGCGACAATGATGATGATAATAACCATGATGATTACAATGTTGATAATGATGACAACAATGATGATAATGTTGACGATAACGATGATAACAGTGATGATGATGATAATAACAATGATGATGCTGATAATAACGATGAGGATGATGACAAAGATAATGATGACAATGGCGATGATGATGACGACGATAATAACCATGATGATGATGATAACAATGATTATGGTGATGATGACAACAATGACGATGATGATGACGATAACAACAACGATGATGATGGCAGTGATGATGATGATAATGATAATAACCATGATGATCATGACATTGATGACATAGGTGATGAGGATGACGATAACAATGATGGTGATGACTAGAGATGAGCAAATTATTCAAAAATTCGATTCGGCTGATTCGCCGAATTTGAGGAAGAAATTCGATTCGATGCGAATTAATTCGCTACGAATTTAACTTATTAAAAGGGTTTCTAGGCTTCAGAGAGCCTTTAAATTAGTGCAGAACACTGTACCTTTAATTTAAATGCCCTTGGAGATGAGGAAGGAGAAGGAGAAGGAGAAGGAGAAGGATGAGAAGAAGGAGAAGGAGAAGGATGAGAAGAAGGAGAAGGATGAGAAGAAGGAGAAGGAGAAGGATGAATGAGAAGAAGGAGAAGGAGAAGGATGAGAAGATGGAGAAGGAGAAGGATGAGAAGATGGAGAAGGAGAAGGATGAGAAGATGGAGAAGGAGAAGGATGAGAAGAAGGAGAAGGAGAAGGATGAGAAGAAGGAGAAGGATGAGAAGAAGGAGAAGGATGAGAAGAAGGAGAAGGAGAAGGATGAGAAGAAGGAGAAGGATGAGAAGAAGGATGAGAAGAAGGAGAAGGATGAGAAGAAGGATGAGAAGAAGGAGAAGGATGAGAAGAAGGAGAAGGAGAAGGATGAGAAGCAGGAGAAGGATGAGAAGAAGGAGAAGGAGAAGGATGAGAAGAAGGAGAAGGAGAAGGATGAGAAGATGGAGAAGGAGAAGGATGAGAAGATGGAGAAGGAGAAGGATGAGAAGAAGGAGAAGGATGAGAAGAAGGAGAAGGAGAAGGATGAGAAGATGGAGAAGGATGAGGAGAAGGAGAAGGAGAAGGATGAGAAGAAGGAGAAGGATGAGAAGAAGGATGAGAAGAAGGAGAAGGATGAGAAGAAGGATGAGAAGAAGGAGAAGGATGAGAAGAAGAAGGATGAGAAGAAGAAGAAGGATGAGAAGAAGGAGAAGGATGAGAAGAAGGAGAAGGATGAGAAGAAGGAGAAGGATGAGAAGAAGGATGAGAAGAAGGAGAAGGATGAGAAGAAGGAGAAGGAGAAGGATGAGAAGAAGGAGAAGGATGAGAAGATGGAGAAGGATGAGAAGAAGGAGAAGGATGAGAAGAAGGAGTTTCAACCGCTGTATGGAGTGAATGTCACAGAACTGTCAGAAATAGCGGAGCTCTGCAGATACACTTAGCGGAGCTCTGCAGATACACTTTTTGCCGGCTTGGAATTCTTATTTTCATCCTACTTCTTCTTCTTCTTCATCCTCATCCTCATCCTCTTCTTCTTCTTCTTCTGAGGATGAGGATGAAGAAGAAGAAGAAGAAGTAGGATGAAAATAGAAGAATTCCAAGCCGGCAAAAAGTGTATCTGCAGAATAGAGGAGCTCTGCAGATACACTTTTTGCCGGCTTGGAATTCTTCTTATTTTCATCCTACTTCTTCTTCTTCTTCTTCTTCATCCTCATCCTCAGAAGAAGAAGAAGAGGATGAATGAGGAAGAAGAAGTAGGATGAAAATAAGAAGAATTCCAAGCCGGCAAAAAGTGTATCTGCAGAGCTCCTCTAAGTGTATCTGCAGAATAGAGGAGCTCTGCAGATACACTTTTTGCCGGCTTGGAATTCTTCTTATTTTCATCCTACTTCTTCTTCTTCTTCATCCTCATCCTCAGAAGAAGAAGAAGAGGATGAGGATGAAGAGGAAGAAGAAGAAGAAGTAGGATGAAAATAAGAAGAATTCCAAGCCGGCAAAAAGTGTATCTGCAGAGCTCCTCTATTCTACAGATACACTTAGAGGAGCTCTGCAGATACACTTTTTGCCGGCTTGGAATTCTTCTTATTTTCATCCTACTTCTTCTTCTTCTTCTTCATCCTCATCCTCTTCTTCTTCTTCTGAGGATGAGGATGAAGAAGAAGAAGAAGTAGGATGAAAATAAGAATAATTCCAAACCGGCAAAAAGTGTATCTGCAGAGTTCCTCTATTTCTGACAGTTCTCTGACTTTCACATTTACAGCGGTTGAAACATTGTATCTGTTTCCGAATAAAAACATCTGTATCCTAAATGGAAACAAATAGATACAATGTTTCAACCGCTGTACATGTGAAGGAACTGTCAGAGAACTGTCAGAAATAGCGGAGCTCTCTGCAGGGACACTTTTGCGGCTGATCGGGAAAAATCCGATTCACGCACCCAAAGTAGGCTAATATTTCGGATTCGACGCGAATCGAATTTTTCCTGAAATTCGAATCGAATTCCACTTCGCCTGGTTCGATTCACTCATCTCTAGTGATGACGTTGATGACATAGATGATGATAACAATGATGGTGATGACGTTGATGACATAGATGATGAGGATGATGATAACAATGATGGTGATGACGTTGATGACAATGGTGATGGCGATGATGATGACGATAATAACCATGATAATTCTAATGATGACAACGGTGTTGATGACAATGGTGATGATGACGTTGATGACAACGGTGATGATGATGATAATGACCATGATGATGATGACGTTGATGACAACGGTGATGATGATGATGACGATGAGGATGACGATAACAATGATGGTGATGAAGGTTGATGACAACAATGATGATGACAATGAGGATAAAAATGATGATGATGATGACAACAATAACAATGATGAGGATGTTGATGACAACGGTGCTGATGATGACAAAGATGAAGATAAAAATTATGATGATGTTGACGATAACGTTGACAATGATGATGCTGACATTGATGACAACAATTATGCTAAAAATGATGATGGCGTTGATGATGATGATAACGATAACGATGATGATGATGACAATGATAATGATGATGATAATAACAATGATGATGACAATGATAATGATGATGATGACAATGAAGAAGATGAGGATAAGGATGACCATGGCGATGATGATGACGATGAAAGATTTAAAGTCTAAGAAGTGAAACGGCTACGTGATCCATAATGTTCCTTCCTTCCCCCCGATGAGTAAGAACGAATCTGAACAAAGTGCTAAACACTGCAGACAAAACTCAAGCAATATTCATTTTCTATGACAAAATACAGCCCGTACGTGCAAACGAGTGACAGCTTAATCCTCTTCACTCTCGCTGCCGCAAAACAACATCGCGAAAAACAGCACATTTTGCCATCACGTTAAATATTTTGGTTATCATGTTCATAAACTTCCTCTCTCTTGCTAAACAAATTAACATGTAAATAAATGTTTAACAATTACATATCGCTACAGAAAACACCAACATCTTCCTTTTTGGGGATGTTTGCGGGTGGAGGAAACCTTTCCAAACAGCCTGTAGGGGGCAGTATTTTTCCATGGAACTGGCTGAGAATGATTGCAGCCTCCTGCTCTGGTAAATGTCTGTTTTTCCCCCCCTTTTACCTATTATATGCACAACAATTTTCCAAAGTTATTTCCTTGATTGATAATGTTGGCAAATGCTAAATCACTTCTGTTTGCAAACTGGTGTTTGTATAAATTTACATTTGTATACCTATACAACAAAGAAAGTTACGTGTTCGAGAGTCGCTCATTATGTCATCTTGTCGTCGCATTATACATCCTATAACATAGCTGAACGCGGAATTGTCAAATTAAATAGAATCCTTCATCGTATGGCGGCAATCGCTTTTATTGATGTGATTGTCTCTCGCTTTGTATAGACAAAGGAAATCTTTTCTTCTTCTTTTTTTCTCTTTTTGTCTTTTCAGAATAAAGAAAAGAAATCTGTGAATGATTCTTGAGACAAGCAAAGCTGCTATTAAGAAAAAAAAAGCATTTGGCGTATATATTCTGCCCAGCCTTTACCAGAATTAGAGGAAAACTCCACTTCGAATGTGATGGTCAACAGTCAACATGGAAATGAGAAGTATCATTGTACTTTTCTTGCTTTTTTTTATTTTATATTATATTTATTCATTTTATTTATATTTTATTTTTATTTTATTTTTATTTATATTTTATTTATCTATTTTTATACTGATTTTATTATGTATTTATTTATTTTTCTTTTTCTTTCATTATTATTGTTTTATTATTTTCATAATATATTCTTTTTGGCAAATGACTCTCTACAATTCTGGTCACCAGAAGAAGGGGTGGTCCTACTGAAGTGTTTGCTGGTTTTTGAATACCAGTAAACCGCCCCTTACTGACACGTAGGAGTCCCAGCAAAGTAGCAGGTCATTGTTGCCCAAGGCAGGACAAACGCTTGTTTACTGGGGCAGACCGCACAGCAAACCTTCCCTCACCAGAAGAAGAGGTGGGTCCTAAACTGAAGTGTTTGCTGGTTGTTGAATACCAGTAACCTTCCCTTACCACAAAGTGGGAGTCCCCAGCAAATCCGGTAGGTCAATGT